TCACTGTTACATGGAGGTTCTGAGTTAATGGAAATCAGACAGCCAGTAGCAGCAGCAACAACAAAACCCAATTATCCTTAATGAATATGTAAGAAAGTTTGGCTGAAGACTACACTGAGGTCAGAATCAGGCCCCCACATTGGAATATTTTTTGCTTTTAGTATAGTTGGTCTAGATTTTTGTCATGAAAAACGAGCCAGATGTGACCTGGGAGGGTCCCTCTCCCCAAACTACATTTTTCTCCCTTTTGCCTTCCAGATTTAATTAAAAAATATCAAGAGCCAGCATAATGGACAAATAAATTCACCACAAACTAATAATTATTTCACCAAAATGGGCTTCACTTTTATAAGCTGAATGTTATTACTATGTAACATATTAGTGCAGTACTGACCCAGTAATAAAATGCTTGAGGAACTTAGCCAGTAGTCAAAGGAGATTCTTCCCTAGGTATAGCCACAATGTTGTAGTAAGGTTTGAACTAGAATATATTGAGTAATGATTTAGCATGAATGAGTCACGGTATAAAACATAACAAGCTGCTGTTTCTCACTACTTAGGTATATCTGAGTAAAATGAGACCTCATTTAAGAACTTAGGAAAAAATATGTAGAAAAATACGGACCTATGAAGACTTGCTGTAACAAGAGGTCTTCAAGACCTCAGTGTTGAAGACATTTTAAAAGCATTTTTAAATTTGTTATCCCAACATAGGAAATTCAATTTGGTAGAATTCTTTGTTGATCGTGTTCTGGTTTGTTTTGTTTGAGTTGGACTTGTTTCTGTTTCATGTAACTCAACATGAATCCTTTACTAATATTTTCAAATTATAATACTGAAATAGTACTTGAGATGGATACTATTTTTTGTGTATGACTACAAAATACATTTTACTGGCATTTAGCAGTTTGATAGAATTTAATTCCACATGACCTGCTTTCTAGAAACAGCCATATTTTGAAAAGTCAGCCGTTTTTGCTATTTTTCTTGGGGGAGAATTATGTTTACTTTCAGATAGAACTCCTTGAAAATGTTGAATAAGACTGATCATAATCTAAATGTAAATGACCATCTCCTAAGAATTTGTTCTTCAGAAATCATTTTGAGTTATGAAGATGGGCAGCTCTTATTATTATATGCTATATAGAAAAAATACATATTTTAAAAATATATGTGTGTTGTATGACAAAAGTTCAAATTCTTTATTCCTCTAATTTTCTTTCAGAGCAGGACATGTTAGAGAGTTCAATTAAGTGTGCAGCCACTCTAAAATGACTCAGGTCTTGAAATTCAATGGCCTTTAGTTTTGTCCATTAATGATAAGAAGCAATTCTGATATCACTATTGAAATGTTTTTATTTATTAAAGTCCCTATACTCTTTGCTGTGTAAATTCCTAAATGACATGTTATTCAGGTTGCTGAAGGCAGACTTATCTCCTTATCAGTTACTGTTCTGATGCTCAGAACATTTGTCCACAAACATTTGAAAATTGAACTGAGCTGAAAAATTGTCTCCACCATGCAACAAGACCATGCTCTGTACTGAAAAATGAGTAGGAATCCTCTGCTAAGAGGTGTCGATACTCAGTGAGCACTCCTGGGAATTGGTAGTTTGGTCACGCCTGCCCCAAGAATATCACAGCAACTAAATGTTGCTTTTAGAAAATGCCTGTAGTGATAGTGATCAGTATTTTCATCTGTTCTTCTCTAAGGTTATGGATAACCATAACATAGGTTGAGTGCTTTTCTGGATCGATATCCTGACATGCTGGCACAGTTCTGTGCAGCATCCATTAGCAAGGGTGACCTCTTGCCAGCAGAGCATACATCAGGTGCCTGTTACACACCCATGCTGCAGTCTGGCATGGCAAAAGAGGGATCCCTAAGATGTCTGGCCAAGGAAATCTCAATACTTCTTTTATGGTTTGTAGTACCAAAAATGTATCTGTTACTCAGCACCTTCTAAAAGCATACTTCTTATTCCCAGATCCTCCTTATTGCCCATGCAAAGTCAATGAGGGTGAGTTAATGGGCCATGTCTCATGCACCACAGATCAGAAAGGTCAGTCAGCGGTAGTAATGTATATAAGCATATTATTTTACTGTATTTGCACATTAAACTGATTAATTCTAGCAACCATTTCTGATAGGAAATAATAAAGAAAGTATATTAAATGTTTAATTGGTTTTGACAGCAGAGTACAAATGTACTTATAATTTTCCCCCTCCCCATCTCTCATAGACAAGCAGGTATGCACACAATATTTAAAATTTTAGCACTCTTATAACTGTGAGTGCTGGCTGGACCACTGAAAATGTGTAGTAAGTCTTATAATGGATACAACAAACAGTTATTACAGCCAAGTCAAAGACCATTGTTCAGTGACTTGCCTGATTTTAAATCCAGCATGTGCTATTTCTACTGCCCTAACTCAGATTTGTGTATCATTTCCTGTGTATTCTTGTCTGGGTTTTGAAATTATAATTTGAAAATTGCTTATGTGGTCTTATATAGGAGTCTGTCATAGTGGGAGGGTTAACATTTTTTCCTCTAAGCTTTGATAACTTCCCATAAATGGCTTCATTCTGAAGTTCCGTGAAGGCTGCGAGGTCTTCCTGTGACTTTGTTTGTAGGTTTGAGGTCAATAAGGTGTAGACTTGGATCTTGACAAACGTAATTTATTTCTCTGATGATTATTTGCCATGACATTTTAGACTCTGACTCTCACATCTCACAGAAGAGGTGTTTTAGAGAGGTTACAGATTCAAGGACCTGTAGACAAATCAACCAGCACTTCCATTTCCCACGGTGGGTGGGATGGGGGAAACACACTCACTTCCCTTTAACACTGCAGCTTAGTTTTCACTTTAACCATGACCATATAAGACAGAACCCCAAGTAAATGAAACATTCACACAGAGTGTATACAGTTTGCACCTTTATATGAGTTAATGTTTTAATGTGTACCATATACAGGTACATTGGCTTTTACAGCAGCCTCTCCTATTTGTTTGCAGCTCCATTCCAGGAGCAAGCCAATATTGTGTGTGTTGAGGATGACAGTGCAATGCTGGAGGTAATGACAAAGAGCAGCATTTCAGATGCAACAGCACCAAACAAATTGGAACAAATCCCCCCTCAAAATAGCATTGGGTGTACTACCTACTGCCAAGGGCTGCCCATAAGTTTCCATTTCCATTTTCCATTTAAGATGAGACTTAAAATAAGCAAAATTGGTTAAATGAAAGCTGTTTTGAAATGATAGGAAGAAGTGAATATTCTATTTATAATAAGAAAAAATTGAACCCTGTTCAAGAGAATGGAATCTTTTAACTAACCTCTATTCTTACTGTGTAAGTTTAAAAAGCATTTTTTTACATGTACATTATAACATAGTATCTTTCAAAGATACACTTGATCTGTAAAAAATTAAAATTCATGTTCATTCATTGAAGCATATACAGTGATTAAAGTGGCTTTACTCACATGGTAACATTAACAAGAAAACTGCCCTCTAGACTTACGGCTCTGGAATCAGAAAGCGGCTCCTTTTTGGGAAAAGAAAGGTTCAGTGTATCATGTGCTTGGGAAATTTGCCTTCCTTTTCTTTGAGAACTGTCCTTGTAAAAGAAAACTCCTCAGTCAGAAAGATGGACAGTGCTGCTCCAAAGGTGTTGCAGTGTTGCTCGATGTGGTGGGAACATTTGTGTAACTAAAAAAAATCTAGTCACAGGGGAAAAGTTATTTGATTTATGGCCTCCTGGACATCCAAAAACCCTTTTACATGTATGAAATAAGCTGTAGGAGCATTGTCCTTAGTTTTGTCTTTGGCTGCCAGTGTTTGCAGATATACCTGGCAAGAGCAAAAAAGATGTCCTTCCCCTCGCACATGGCACCTTCTGACCTCTCTACAGTTACACAGCTTTGTCTCTTTCCCCTTCTGCTCACATCCATCTTTGACTGCTCCCACAGAACAAATCTCTGCATTTTTCATATGGGCAAGTAGGCGCGCTGTTCTTGCACCAGCATTGTCAAGAAAGCTACCAGAATAGTTGTACAAAAAGTATTTGTACAATAGTTGTACAAAGGTGATCTAAAATGTGCTTTTTGAGTGGCAGTTTATCCTTGTGAACAGTAGTTTACGAGCAGTTCTAAATGTTTTCACTGTTGAGATTTCATTTCACAAACACATTTTATCACAAGAAATAAAAAGTTGGAAGGGCCATTGGTTTCATTTCATCTAAGAAGTCTGATTTAAAATGCTCTCCTTCAAATAAATGTGTTTCATAAACTTCAGCTGCCTGATTTCTCTTTACATGTTGTTTATGTGAATGGCAAAAACTATGTCAGATTTACAAGGCTGGTGCCATGCACTATATTGCTCCATGGCATATAAGTTTTCAGCTCCAAGGTCACAGCTTTATTAAGGGATCAAGATTTACAATAACGTTAACAAGAGCATGAATGCCTCCACAGACACCTTCCTGTAGTTTACTTCCCTAAAGTCACCTGCACAGTTTCTCCCCCTGCCAAAGCTACTAATCGATAAATACTGCGGTCTCTTGAACAAGGTTCAAATGGATCTATCGTGTTGCTTTAGTAATAAATCTTTGCCTTTATTTAACATCTGCCTTCAAAAGACATAACCTTCTTTACCTGCTGTAATTAAACTTCCTAACAGACTTATCTGGTGATTAAAATCTGCTCCCTTTTTAAAGATTGAGAAACTGAGGCATAAGGCCATGTTTTGATGAAGTCATACAAGAAGAGTAGAAGACTTGGAAGCCCATCTCTGCCAGCTTCCCACGTGCTGAGGCTGAAGGCCATGCTGCCTGTACCCCAATGGTAGCTGTGTAGCATCTGACCTGAGGCTTCTGTAATTCTTCCTTTTCACATACTGTCATGGCCTGGCTAGGGTGCCCCTGAAGCTGACACACAGCTGTGGTGTCATCCTCACTGACACAAGCATATACAAGAAGCACTCTGCAGGCTACTTACCACTTAAAGGTAAAAAAGACACTCTGTGTCTTCTTCTGGCTGTCTCTGCAGTGCTGATGAGGTTACTGCTACCAACTGCTGCTAATCATCCACTCAGATTTACTGGTCCGGCTTCCTGCTTTATTTCATGGAAGATAATCACTCACTTTAAACAGGAGGGGGTTTTACCAGCCTATGAACACCCCCAGATAACCCTTAGCAGCAGTGATGAGAGCAGGGTAGCACAGCCATGGTTGCCAGAGGACAACTTACCACAACATCTCAAATTCCATGGGAGATCCCAGGGGTTCTGCCTTTTCCACCAGATTTTCTCCCAACCTGAAGCATGGACAGCGAATGTCCCAGCCCAGGCAACTTAATTCACTTTGGGCCAAAGGCTTTGAAAGCCGGTTCTCAGAATCACAGGATGGTTTGTCTCTCATCTTCACCTGAAGAGAGAACTTAGCTTCAGCTTCACTCCCTGCAGTTCCCTCTCCCCTCAAAACTGTGAGCCCAGATGGCTTTTGCCAAAGCCCATGGACATTGCCTCTTGCTGCTGATCACTAGCAGCTACAAGAAGCAGCTCTGATGGATGTCTAAGGCATTTAGGCTTTCATTCAGTTTTGAAATGCTGAAAGCATATGTGAACCACAGCTCTGAATGTTTTGCACTCTCTCCCAAAAGTCTAACCCTAGGCCAGAGAGAGAGGGGGACCTTCCCACCTAGAGACCTCCTCTGAACATCTAACTATGGTACAGACAGCTGCAGTCAAGGAGACAGGGAAAACCAAGATGAAGGATCCATTTTCTCTCAGTCTTGGCACTGGAACAGGTTGTTGTGGAAGTTGCGGATGCTCCATTCCTGGGAGTGTTCAAGCCCAGGTTTGGATGGAGCTCTGAGCAACCTGGACTAGTGAAAGGTGTCCTTGCCCAGGGCACAGCAGATGGAATCAGATGATCTTTAATGTCCCTTCCAACCCAAACCATTCTATAATCTCTGAGCAAAAGAGACCAAGCCTAGTCTGAATCTTGTATTTATTATGATTATCACCTTCATAAATTAATATAATTTATATACTCTCTATAAATCTGTTTCTTTTTAAAGCATTCTCAACATTTTACTTTTTGTTTATATGCCAAGAGTTATGTCCAGATGAGATGAGTGCTAGATATGCTTAATAGGTCCAAAAGTCTTCTGTATCTGGAGAAGTCTGTTGGCATCACTATACAGATAGACAAATACCACTGAACTACTCAATAAAATGACCACTAGTGCCAGTCACAGAATTCCAGCATCAGTTAGGCTGGAGAAAACCTCTGATATCATCAAATCCAACCTATGACAGAACACCACCATTGTCAGCTATAGCACAGCATTAAGTGCCACGTCCCATCCTTTCTTAAAAATCCCCAGGAATGCTGATGCCATCACCTCCCTGGGAAGCCCATTCCAATGTTTAATCATCCGGAAGAAATTCCTCCTGGTGTCCAACCAAAACCTCCTCTGGCACAGCCTGAGGCTGATTCCTCTTGTCCTGTCACTTGTTACCTGGGGGAAGAGGCCGATCCCCACCTCACTACACCCTCCTTTCAGACTGAGAGCGATAAGGTCACCTCCGAGCCTCCTTTTCTCCCGGACAAACAACCCCAGCTCCCTCAGCCGCTCCTCACTTATGCTCCAGACCCCTCACCAGCTCTGCTGCCCTTCTCTGGTCTCGCTTCAGCACCCAAGTGTTCTTCCTGCATTCAGGGAACTGAACTGAACACTGGATTCGAGGTGCGGCCTGACCGGTGCTGAGTACAGGGAGACTGGACGATTAGAAATCTTCTAAATCTACAAGTAACCAGATCTAGAAATAAGCCAGAGCCTGAGCGGCGTCACCATGCAGGCTTGAGGCGCGGCTGCTGCGCGGCAGGGCGGCGGGGCGGGCGCAGCGCGGTGGGCGGAGCGGGGAAG